GGCAGAAGTAAAAGAAGCAGGCCTGGAAGGTTATATATTCTTGTTCTCTGATTTGAATCAAGCACATTCATTTTTAGAGACACATTCTTTCCCCCTCAGTCAGTTCTGAGAAAGAAATGGACTTAGTCTCACAGTGTAACCACAGGGCACAAGGTGAGTTCCCCATGGCTGAGCATCATGAGGTTAGGCGTGTACAGTTTAATGTTTGGTGATCCGTGACTTGCCTATTTTGGATCCTAAAGGAAAATTTAAAAGTACACAGCTTCCTGGACTGCTCTGGCACCCGGGTAGCGTAGAGAGCCACTCAGGAAGAATGACTTCAAGGTAATAAGAAAGACTGTCACATGCCATGCATGTGTGGCATCAAAGTTCAGCACTGGGAACACTTTGACTATCTGGGGCTAATTTTAGGGGCCAGTGAGGTGACTCAACAGGCAAGAGGCAGGAACCCACGTGGTGGAGAGAGAACCAATTCCTGCAAGTTGTCCCCTGACCTCCACACATGCACTGTGGCACATGGCTCAGAAGTTAAGAGAGCTATCTGGCCTTCCTGAAGATCCAGATTCCCAGCAACCCACACAACTGACTGTCACTCCAGTTGTAGGGGGTTCAGTGCCTTCTTCTGGCCATCAGGCAAGCGCATGGTGCAGACATAGATATCGCGGTTAAATAAGGATCAGGATAAACAAATAGGCTGAATAGATGTTTATTCAGGGAGAAATAACTTACAACCTAGACAGATGAACACCAGGAAATTCAACCCGATCCTCCTGTCCGAGTCCCGCCAGCAAGAGAGCTTTACCCCGGCCCTTCCTCAGACCTCCTTCCACACATACATGCAGGCAAAACACCCATACACATACAAAATACAGATATGTTCTTGAGTTATCTCCCATTTCTGAAAAGCCAAACACTAAAACATACCAACAGCTAGGCACGGCAGTGCATGCCGGTAATCCCAGCCACATAATGCGTTTCTGGCCAGCCTGAGCTACATGAAACCCAATGTCAAGAAACCTCACAAATGGACAAAACCCCAACTAACCGACAACCAAGAAACCAGTGCGACAAAGATGAGCTCCCTGCCCTCACACCATCTCTTAGCAAACACAGCTCCCCTCTCGTCACACATCAAGCCCTCTGATCAACCCCAGTCTCCACTTTCTCAGGCACCTGTCTCTGCTCAACCTGTGTCAGAGGCGCAGCATCTAGGAGCCTGCACAGTTGACCGCATAATCCCACCTTTGATGGTCATTTTTCCGTGACCATCCCACCTTAGCCGCTACTTCACAGTGCCCCCTCCTCCAGCTCTTCTGATGTGTTGAGAGCCCTACATTTGGGCACTATTGTCTACCTGCTTTCTCTCCTTAGCTAGTCACACATTGTCCTGTGACAGGTTGCTTCCAAGTCTCCATTTCCAGCTCAGACAGTCCCCTAGAATGTGTACGACTAATCCGTACAGCTATGACCTGTTACCATTCTAAATGCCCCGGTTCAAAGGCGAGTTCAGTCATCCTCTTCCTCAGCTTTTTCTTCACGCATTCTCCCTATAGTGACACAAAATCTGCAGCTGTTTCAAACCAGGAGATGTAATTATCCTTGCTTTCTCTCTATTAGCCCAACAGCCAAATCTTATCAACACTACCTCGTCCCGAGTCCATCGCTGGCTGTGTATCCTAGGAACCTATGGACATTCTAAATACCTCAACTGTCATTCCCTGTTCTCCTCGCCTCCAGTTTACATCCCACATAGTAGCCAGAGAAATGCCTTCAAACACAAATTAGATTATGTCACGTGTTTGTCTAAAACCCTCCATCTTCTCCTCAGCACATTGTGTAAAGTCCTAACACCCTAGAACCAACTAAGCCCCCGATCATCTCTCCCTGTTAATTCCTATCTATCCAGAAAAGCATGACCCCATGTCTGCTCATCATGGGGAACATTCTTGGGGATTTGTGTAGCACAATAAATACTTTCTGTGAATCAATAAATCAGGGATTTAGAATGGTTCTCACCCCTTCTAATGTTGCCACACTTTAATGCAGTTCCTCATAGCGTGGTGACCCCTAGCCATAGAATTCTTTCATTGCTATTTCATAACTAATTTTGCTATGTTGTGAATCATAATCTGTGTTTTGTGATAGTCTTAGATGACTCCTATGAAAGGGTCATTTGATCCCTCAGATGGGACCACTGAGTTAGGAGGATAAACTTGCCATTCCAGACTTATAAAAACAGCTTTTCAGTGCAGAGTCCCAACTTGGAAAACCAGCATCTATGATCACCCATCCTTCCAGTTTGTGTGAGGAAAACTTGCCTAGTTTGAGACTCTTCGTGCTAGTTCTTCAATGAGTACCTGTTACCGTGGGAGACCTGGGGTCACTTAGGGTGCCCTCTCCCATGCTTCATTATGTGCAGTGACCAGCACAAGTCAACACAAGTGACGGGAATAGCCGTCTTGGGTCCTCTAACAGATGCTTTGCATCAGGGTGAGGTTATCAGCACACATGGAGGGAAGGATGAGAGGAGAGAAAGAAGCAGCAGTGTTTGGATGGGGACCAAAACAATCACTGTTCTAAATCACTGGGTTATTGATTCACAGAAAGTATTTATTGTGCTACACAAATCCCCAAGAGCGTTCCCCATCACAAGCAGACGTGGGTCATGCTTTTCTCAATGGATGACCATTAACAGGGAGATGTGATAGATTATAGGGTGTGTACAGAGGCACCACGTAAAAGAGCACATCCCCTCCCCCAGGACAAAGTGCCTGTAAATACCCTGCCATAAGCACGGAGGCCTCACACGGAGGGTGCTGAGCACATTGGAGGGCTGATGCAGTTTGCTTTCTTGAGGTTATTATTATTTTTTTTAAAAACTCTCATTCATGCTTTGGTCTGTGCTCAAGGCAAAGAAGAAGTAATTAGTAAGAGGGTGGCGCGTTACTCAGCAGCTGCTCACAGCCTGGCCCAAGCATGTCTCATGATGCCAGCTGTACCTGAGGTCCTTGTCTGGGACTCTTATTCTATTAAGGTTTAGCAAAATGGGCTGGAGAGATGGCTCAGCAGTTAAGAGCACCAACTGCTCTTCCAGAGGACCTGAGTTCAATTCCTAGCACTCACATGGCAGCTCACAGCTGTCTGTAACTCCAGCCCCAGGGGATCTGATGCCCTTTTCTGGCCTCTTAGGCATTGTGTCTACGTGATGGATAGACATACAGTCAAAATACCTACACCCATAAAACAAAAAGGACTTTTAAAATGTTTGCAAAATGATAATATTCTAAAGGTGATTTTTTAATTTTGAAAGAAAAATGGTAATATTTTAGTAGGACTACCCCTAATTATTACTTACAGTGGATCTACAAGAAGAAAAATTTCCATCATCCACAATTTGGGCTGCCCTGAGTTACACTTTGAAAGGGAAATTACTGCCTACTGTTTTGAGGTTTGTCAGGTTTGAAAGAGCACAGGAAAAGAGGCAAATCTCAGATGAACAGCTGTGCTCCTCAGGAAGCCATCCATCCAAACACTGGTGCTGGGCATGGGTGGGGTGGGTGGAGACTAACTCTCCAATGGAAATGAGATGTGGGGCCCTCCATTCCTCTGTTCTCATTACCTTTGAATGAACAGTCAGCCCACTGCTAAGTCCTTGGTCTCCACTTCACATTTAACATTTCCCGCATGTTCTCCTCTTCAGTTTCCCAGCCCTCATGTCCTCATTCAGCTCTTCTGCATGGAACCCACTTTCTGTTTCTTGAGTTCCTCATAGACCCAGCAAGGCACAGAGCACCGGTCAGGTTATCCACAAGGGACTGCGTAAGATCCAAGGTGATACAGTACTCATTTATCCCAACCATCCTCCAAAGCACTTTAGTGTCTATCTGAAGCAGTTGTTCTGTGGGTCCAGACCCATCTAGGGGTCCAACCAGCCTTTCGCAGGAGTCACCTAAGGCCATCACAGATACTTACAGAGTTACTGTTACAAAGTAGCAACAAAGTAACTTTATGGTTGGGGGGGGTCACTACCACAGGAGGAACTGTATTAAAGGGTGGCAGCATTAGGAAGGTTGAGAACCTCTGGTCTAAAGTATCTTGATGCACTATCACAGTAGGAACACAGCTGGTCATGTTACATGTGCAGTCAGGAAACTGAAAGAGAATTCTGGTGCCCAGCTCTCTCTCCTTTTTTTAAATTTATTTTTATTCATTCATTTGTTTTTATTTTATGCACCAGTGGTTTTCCTGCATGCATCTCTGCACGCCATGTGCTTGCCTGGTACCTGTGGGACCAGAAGAGATTGCCGGGTTCCCCGGACCTGGACTTACAGGTACTTGTGAGCTGCTGTGTCAGTAATTCTGGAACTGAGGCCCGGGCCACGGTGCTACCCACCCTCAGGACTGGTGTTCCATTCTTAGTTATGCCTTTCTGGAAACACCTTCACAGACTTACACAGAGGTGTTTTTCCATGGCTATTCTCAATCTGGTTGACGGTGGTGATGAACCATCCCAACCCCAGGGAGATTGTTTCCCATTTCCTCATTCCTGTGGCTCCTTTTGTGGCATTCTGTCCTGGAACTCTGCCACCTCCTAAATAATTTTCTGAATTTACTTACATTAAGACTCATTTCTGGTTGGGCAGTGGTGGTGCCTCTGTTTCTCTCAAATGCACACATAGCAAATAACTTAAAAGTAAAATATATAAGTATATGTAATTAAAAATTAACATGGTAATAAGGTGAATAGCATCTAAGAAATAATAATCAGGGTAGTCCTCTGGGCTCCACATGCTCACCTGCACACACAAGGGCTCCCTCCTACACACATTAACACACATGTACACAAAGAAAAAAAACTAGTAAAGGTAGGAAAATGTGCTTTTTAAGAGCTTTCTAAAATTCTTTATTAATCAGTTAGTAACTATTAAAAGAACAACCTGAGCCAAGGAATCTTGAATGTTTTAAGCGGTTATTTCATGACAATAAATATTAATCCTACATAGTGTTAAGTCAAAGTAGTTTACTTCAAATATAAGGACCGGAATAAAGAACCAAAACAAACTGGATTATTTAGGGCAGGTGTTTTGCGAAGATAGTGTTGTTATGACCAAGTCCAGTGTGTCCTCAATTGTGTTACTTCTCTCTATTATGGAAGAATTTCTTGCGCTCTGTTTCCCATTTTCTTCTGATTCAAGAGGGAGAAGAGTATGAGGGTTGAACAGATGTCGAGGCTCCCCCAAGATGCCAACTCTGCAAGGAGAATTACTGCTATGGTTAATCCAGTAAATGGGAAGGCCAAAGGCTGTGATTCACAGTTGTGCTTGTGACTGTGATTATCAGTCTGTGATGATCACACAGACAGACAGACAGACAGACAGACTCTCTCTCTCTCTCTCTCTCTCTCTCTCTCTCTCTCTCTCTCTCTCTCTCTCTCGTTAAGACATACAGATACTTTAAAAAGCCAGACCTGTTTCCATACCCATCACTGTGGTCTTACAAACACCAGCCCCTGTAGTATCTTGTTTATACTCTAACAAATAGAGCTTGCCTGAAGATCAGCGGGTGGAGCTAGCCACTAGCTAACCATAGAGATCTGGAGGTCTGTACAGACAGACAGGAAGTCAGATGCTGGGCAAAGAGGAATATAGATGGGAGGAGACAGGAACTTGGTCTCTTTTCAGTCTGAGGATTTCAGAGAGGCACGAGCTCTAGTGGCTGTCTGTTCTTCTCTGGTCCATCAGCTTTCACCCCCAATATCTGACTCCAGACTTTTATTATTAAGACCTATTAGAACCTGTGTTACAAGCCCCAAACTGAATCATAACAAGATTCTCTTCTGGCTCTACCTACATCTCCCCAACATGAATACTTAGAATAGACCTAAGGAGCTGTAAGCAGTCTGGCCCTCATTCCTTCAGGCTACAACTATTTAGAGCCTAGCACAACTTCTAGGATTTTATTTTTTCTAGTTCGGGTGTTCTTCAGTGGGGGAGCTCTGGTCACCGGGTCAGTGGTTGGCATGGGAACAGATGCCTCTGGCCTTCTCAGCTCCACCAGGAGGCACCGCTCACAACTTTCCCGTGACCCTCCTTGGGCTACTTACACTGGCAGGATCATAGACTCCAGACTTGCTCTTTCCTTCTGCGTTCGGGGTGGAAGTTTGATGCCTGCCACATATTTTTTTTCAACGATGTTTTGAGCTTTTTCTCTGAGAGATGGCAGCAGTGTAGACAAGACCGGGGAGCGCATGTCCATGGCCTTTTTAATCGCCGGACGTTTTGCCATCATTTTCCTGTGGGAAGGAGGGGTGACAGTCATGTTACATTGTCCTATTTCTTACAAATGTCCTTGAGCGGAGGAAAGGTCCCATGGCCATAGCTGAGCCAGATGCCACGTGCAAGCTTGTATCCCAGATAAGGTACAAAGATTACAGGTTTGAGGCTACACACACACAACACACACACACACACACACACACACACACACACACACACACACACACACAAAACAGAAAGAAAAAAAATAAGAGGTCGTACCGAAATTGTACCAATGTCATGCGTTTCTTCTCTCCTCCTGATTCTTCATCCTCACGCTTCCTTCGGGGAATGTTGAACATATTGGTACGAAAAAGCCTTCCTACTTCTTCCTCTATCTCTGTCAGGTACTGACGTCGGAAAACAATCCAAGCTATGCATGTACAGAAAGTATAAAAGGACTGAAAGAGAAAACAGAAGAATCACAATGCCCAGAAATGCTATGAAAAACTCCCACTGTCCCCATTAAGTAGGCACAAGCCGGGGTGACCCAACTGCTCAATATCCCTAGAAGCTGTACAGAATTACCTGTGTACTCACATGTATGGGTAGAAAATTGGGTCCAAATTCTAAGGTACAACACACAATATGTTATCATCCTTTTAAAAAAAGGATATCTGTTGAAGACATGTGCCTGCCGAATGGCTACTGGTCATTGTTGTGCGCTGTTTTCAGAGCAAATGAAGTCCCCAAAGCAAGGGGCTTACCTCAAAGAATTTCCAGTCTTTCTGCGTATCTGATATTTTCTCCCTGAAATATAACAAATCACAACTATATGTGATAAGTTCATTGTCCACATAATGTAGGATTCTAACTGGTGGCCCTTTCATGATTTGGATCTGGATGGTCCCGAGACAACAGACTAGGTTGCCAGCTGATGGCACTATCAGGTGTGTGTGTGTGGGGGGGGTGTCAGGTGGAGGAAGTAGGCCTGGGAATGTGCCTTGCCAGGGGCTCTGTCTCTGGGTTCTCCCTCACTGTCCACTTCATAAGCAGCTTTCTTCTATTGTGCCCTCCTGCCATGATGCTCTTCCTTATCACAGGCCAAGGACATGCTAAGAACTTCCCATTGGCTGTGATATTTCATTCTTCTACTGTCTCCTCAAGGGAGTCAGCACTGTGACTTCTATGTTACATCAAGGAAGCTGATGCTGAGATTCAAGTCCAGTTCTCTCTCTGTATTTCCATGATGCTAGCTAGCCGCCTCTCATCTTTCCACTGACGGCTACCCCCAACCCCACAGACTCCTCACATTTTTCTCTTTGCATTTATATTTGGCACTACTTTTTCTGCTGGATAGGCACTGAGGGTGTGTTAAGTACTTCAGATTTGCGTATGTGTGTGTGTTGTTGTAGTTTTTTTTTTTTTTTTTTTTTAAAGAGAGAGACATGAGATGGGAGTTGGTGGCATAGGCCTTCAATTTCAGCACAAAGGAGGAAGAGACAGGCAGCGCTCTGTAGTGAGATATTCACCTTGTGGGCACCTGTGGTGTGGACCACACCCATTGGGGATGGAGACAGGGCCTGAGGTGACCTGGGGGGAACTAAGGCTGAGGAGGGGGCTTGGAGAGCTCTCTTGCTTCCAGCACGGGGACAGGAGCACATTGGGAGGCATCCTTGGGATCAGGAACCTGCTGGTGTTCATCTGTCTATGTTGTGAGTTATTTCTCCATGAATAAACATCTATTCAGCCTATTTGTTTCTCCTGATCCTTAATAAACATCAATAGAGCTCTATGAGTTTGGTCTACAGAGCGAGTTCTGGGATAGCCAAGGCTGCACTGAGAAACCCTGTTTCAAGAAAAATAAGAGAAACCGAAAGAAAACATAAAGTTGGATGATAGGGAGGTAGGAAGGAACTCGAAGGAATTAGAGGAGGGAAAAACATGATCAAAATATATTGTATGAAAAATGTATTCAATAAAAATGTTAACTATTAAAAAATAATTTGTAAAATTATGTTTAAAACAAACACCAATCAATAAAATCCAAGGTTGAAATAAACTACTAGAAAAAATCAACGTCTTATAAACAAAAATGCTGTAATAGAGAAAATGACTAATAAATGGTATTGGAAATGGAACATTAGTAAAGAAAAAGTATCTTAGATTCATAGTTCACCTGAAGCATATGACACATTTCAAATGGATCAAAATGTAGCATTTTTCATGTGAGGTTTTAAAACTAAGAAAGAAAGATAAATAATTTAACCCAGGAAGAACATGTGTGATTAGCAAACAGTATTAGAAATAAGTTGGAAAAATTCACATAAATAAAAATGTGGACCATCTTCCTAACGTATGTAAGTTGCAGTAAACAAGAAATAGAACATATGACCAATGCTTGCTATGGTCATAGTGCTATCTATACATACGCTTTCTAGCTATGCAAATTCCCATTTCTGCCTTGGTAAATTTAAAATGGATGGTAATAGAAGATTATTTTTTTCAAGACAGAGTTCCTCTGGCTATCCTGAAACTTGCCCTGTAGTTGAGGCTGGCCTCAAACTCAGACATCTGCTTACTCTGCCTCCAGAGTACTGGGATGAAAGGCTTGGGCTACCACCAGCCGTCCACAGAGGATTTCTTAACCTTCATGAACTAAGGCTCCTGGCCCCACATGGCTCCACAGGCGGGCTGGGGAAAGCTCTGGAATCTTCTACTTCCTTTGCTTACTTTTTGAGATTGGGGCCATCACTGTGCTACCCAGGGAGGTCTTCAAGTGATCCACTTGCCTCAGCCTCCCAGGGGCTTCATTTTATGGGCATGCATCACTGGCATACCCCGCCTGCTATTAACTGGCAGTATGTAACACGGGCATTTAACAGTTTGCACTTTCTAGTTAAATATGTTCTGGGTAATAAGTCATAAGGAAAGAGCCCCAGTGTAATGTGGATAAAGATGTTCAAAGCAAAAAATATTAGGAAACAAAAAACAAAGCTCAAACCATACATATGTTCACAAAGAATGGTGAATCAAATGGGCCAACACACATGATGGAATTCCTATAACTGCTATTGAGACTACATACAAAGAATATATATGAATAGAGCATATGTGTAAAGAATGGTGGCTTGCATGGGCTCCCACACACAACAGCACACCTCCATCTGCTACTGAGACTGTCTACAAAACAAACAAAAAACAAGTAAAAGGAAGCACACAGGAAAGGCAGTATTTAGGCACTGTCATCCTCAGAGTAAAACAAAACAAAACAAAGCGAAAACATTTTCCCACGATGGTGGTCCTCACAGCTGCGGTTGCTGCAAGAGAAGCAGACACTGCCCGCCTCCCCTCCCCCTCCCCCTCCCCCCCCCCAACACTGGCTATCACATTGTCTCCTCCTGAGACAGCCAAGCAGCCCAGGTCCTCAGCTGCATAAGATTCCACAGAGAGAACAAGTGATGTCATCGCAAGATGGAGCAGTTTATACAATGCCGGCTGAGACTCTGAGATGCGTTCCATACTTACTTGGCTCTCTCAACATGGATATTAGCGCTTGGAACGGATTCTCACCTGAGCCCTGTTAGAGGGATCACTTTCTCGAGGGAACCAGAAATCAAATGGGAAGGTGCTAGGGATGTGCCAGCCTAAGGGTAGCAGAAGCGCATGCGTACTTTCCACAGTTCATGTGATGCTTATCTGCCATGCCCACACCCAGCACGAGGATGCAGTATTTCTGCGCCAGGTACTTCTGTGCATCTTCTAACTTGATCATAACCAGCTCCATCTCTTTTTTCTCTACCAGGCCTCTGCGGGTAGGGAGAGAGACAAGGTGGATTAATTCTGGTGTAAGTCTACATTAATGAGCAATTTTTAAGAAAGAATGTAGGCTATTTTGAAAAAAATAGTAGTGAGTCAACAAACCACTTGCCAATTTGACTTCCTTGAGTTTTGGCATAGAGAAAATCCTCAAAAATTCTCCTTTTCTTTTGGAAAAGACACTTATTTTTTATTCTGTTTGCTTGAGGTTTTTTGCCTGCATGTGTGTGCAGGCAATGTGTAGGTGCCTGGTCACAGCATAGCAGATGAGGGCACTGAACAAGAGATATGGATGGCTGTGAGCCACCATGTGGGAGCTGGGCCTGAAACCTGGACCTCTGGGAAAGCATCCAGTGCTCTTAACTGCCAAGCCATCTCTGAAGCCCCTCAAAGTCTCTTATGGCTATCAACTGCTGAAGTCAGCATCTCAAATTTGGGTGAATGTCGCTTGTATAGATCGATCCCTCATACTCAATGTTCTTTATGTATCCTCAACTATATTCACAGTGAATCCTAATACCTATAGAACTCTCCAGTAACAAATTATCGGCACTGGTTGCTGGGCAGCTGCCTCCTTCCATCCCTGCTATTTCTAAAACACTTGTGGAGACTCCTTGCCACCTCAGTTTTCCCCAAGGCCCTGATGTTGCCATTAAGTTCAGGCATTCCGGGTCTGTATGTGGGTGCTCCCAGTTCTGAGCTCAGCTCTGTTTGGTTGGGAACCATTTCTGCTGGCCAGTACTCGGGATTTTGGCATCAAGTGTGGGAACATCACTTCCCTACAAAAACACAGTCCAGTTCTGATTGAATTGCAAATGAACTTTTTAAAAGACACGAATTCTTATGTTACAGCAGGTCTGAAGTCTGAAGTACTGCACAGCATGGTAGGGAACAGTACTGTTGACAATACTGTCAAGTGTCACTGGAAAGTGAATCAAATGTGCTCTCAATAGTGACAAATGACTGCTCCTTCTGAAGTGAATTACTGCACAAAGACGGGGGGGGGGGGGGGATTGTGGGGAGAGGTGGCGCTCGCTTTTAACCCCAGCACTTAGGAGGCAGAGGCAGGTGGATCTCTGTGTGTTTGAGACCAGCCTGGTTTACAGAGCCAGGGCTACATAGAGAAATCCTGACTTGAAAAACAAAGAACAAACAACAAAACAAAAGAAAACCTGTATGGAGACATGCAGTGAGTGGAGAGGGAGGAGTTTAAGAATAACATGGACATTTAAAAAGCACAACCAATTATCACAGGCAATGGAAGGAAGGCCTGTGAGTCACTGGAGTTAAAACGAGATTCTGGAATAAAGAAAGTGGGCTTCAGCTTTAAGATCCCAGCTGTTATAGAGTCCAAACACACCCTCCATACACAGCCTGCTTGTCACATACCAGAGCCTGCCTCCCAGCTGCCTTCAAGTAGCCCTCACCCTCTTTGGCCAGAGGTGCCACTAGCTAACCCTGTTCTCTTGCTATAGAGACTTAAACAGCCACCAAGGGATGCTTTCCAACATTTAGACAACGGTTCTCAGGTTTTACTCATTATAAAGGAAAACTATCCTGAGGTTCTTGCTTAAAGTACAGAGTTCCCGTGTGACGCCATCTCCAGATTCTGGAGAGAGCTCAGGAAAAGTTAAAACAATCATCCCACAGACTATGAGGCTGGGGACTCACCTAGTAAAATACATAAGGAACCTTAGTAATGGTTTTCAAAATAGCTCAGCAGGTAAGGGTGCTTGCCATTAGACCTGATGACATGACTTCAGTCCCTGGGATCTTACCCAGTGAGAGAACAGACTCCAGCAAATTGTCCTCTGACCTTCACACACACACACACACACACACACACACACACACTAAATAAATGTAACTTTAGAAGATTAATGTAAACAAAAATGAAGCTAGGGCTGGAGAGATGAAGCAGTAGTTAAGAACACCTGTTGCTCTGGCACAGGACCCAGGTTCAGTTCCCTGCACCCACATGGTCCCTGACCTGTAACTCCGATTCCAGAGGATCCGACTTCTCTGGCCTCCAAAAATACCTGCACTCACGTGCACATCCCGACATGCAGACACACACCTACACACAATTAAAACTAATGCATCATTTTAAAGCCCCGTTGAAGTGGAAAGAAGGGGAAAAGCCATGAACCAAAGTCAAAGGAAATATAACCTCAGTACAGACTTCTAGGCAGCGCTGGCTCCTTGCGTCAGAATTTGGTGTTGGATAATCATTCCCCTCCACGGTTTCGCTGTTTTTACTTCTGCAACATGGTCTCAAACATTTGTGTGTGTGTGGGGTGGGGGGGCTCGAGTACCATATAGCCCAGGCTAGACTTGAACTCACTGTGTAGCTGAGGATGTGAACTTCTGATCTTTCTGCCTCTACCTCCCAAGTGCTGAGATCAGAGGCTACACCACCATACCAGGTGTGTGCAGTACTAGGGATCAAACTCAGGGCTCTGTGTATGTTAGGTAAGCTCTCTACCAACTAAGCTGCATCCCCAACCCTTAAACAGTCTTTAGATACACAGTGATTCACCTGAACTGACAAACATGGTCTTCGAAATGCAAATGAAGGGATAGGGATGGAATGCATGTTTGGGACCTTAGATCTGATTCCTAGTAGCACCAAAAATGAAAACTGAGACACTGACAATTTTGTTGAGAGTGGTATATTACATATATTGCTGTTACCACACAATTGACATAATTCTATGAAAAAATTTTGAAAAGAATTTAAAGAGACATGGAAGTGATTATAAATTTTGGGCCCATAAGACCTCTTCTGGAAATTCTTTAAAAAAAACATTATCCAAAATCAGACAGAGAAGTTTTATGAATGAAGATATTCAATTCTGAGCTGAGCATGGTAGCGTATGCCCATAATCCCAGCATTTGGGAAGTCGAGGCCATCCTGGGCTAAATGACTCTCAAAAAAAAAATCTTCAAAAACAGCAAAATTATTATTATTATTATTATTATTCATTGAGATAGGCTATTTCATTATGTAGCCCTGGTTGGCTCAGAACTCATTATGTAGATGAGGCTGACCTCAAATCATAGAGATTCACCTGCCAATGCCTCCCAAGTGCTGGGATCAAAGGCATGTTCCACCATGCCCAGTCTACAATTATCATCTATCTATCAAAGAGACAGGAAAATTTTAAAATAAATAACAAGAGGGATGAAAGCAATACCACTTGTACAGCCAGTTTGTTAGGATCTAAGGGCATGACATTTATTAACTTTGTGGGACTGAAATCAAATATTTCCCTCTGTGCAAATACCCCAACACAATCTATATTTAACTGTTATAAAGAAGTAAACCAAGAGACTCTTGAATATATGAAAATGAAAGGTGATCATGATTTTCATAACCCATTGGTTTCTTTTCCTACACCACTGGGTTCTAGTTACTTCCAGTGCATTTAAAAACTTACCAGAAGACCTTTCTTCTCTGCTGCTTATAAATTAATATATAAAACAAATATCTTTGCTAGATTAGTCATAAGCCTCAGAATTAGAAGGAACCAGAAGACTATAACAAGCCAAAGAGCCATAAAAGCCTTCTGAGTTCAGTTTGGGAATGGGAGGACTCTCCAAGCCTAGTAAGCCACAGTTGGCTTTAGCTTTTGATGCTGCCATAGAAACGCTTCATGCTCTGGCTGCCCTGCTGTGAAATGCCACCCTGAAATAACACTCTGTTGCAAATCATGGTAGCACTACAGGCACAGTAGTGTCTGATCTGGTTCCTTACAAAACTGCTATTCAGGGACACCTATCAGGTCACAAAATGTTTCTCCAACTGCTTGATCAGATACAAGAGTTCTATATTTTAAAAACGTTCTGTAGCAACAAAATAATGGCTCTCCCCAGCATTCCTAACAGCTAAATCATTGAGTTGGTTCCACACATACAGGGTGGGGTGGGGGTGGAGGACAGCCTGGGCACTTGGAAAGTTCCACAGTTTGTGAAAGGTCACCAAGCCTGGGAGGCATTGTTGTGTTCAGGACTCCAAGTTCCCAGATTTTGGCTCTGGTATTTATCTCTAGGCAACTAGGCACAGTCAAGTTTTCTACAGACAGGTTAAGAAAATGTGTCGATTTTCCTTTGATAGAGAATGCTTTATTTTCTACTTTATAAAACACCTTACTTTTTGTTATTAGACACTCACACACCTTTTAACATGAATTTTGTAAGCACAAAAACCAAGAGAGTAGCTGGGTGGCGGTGGCCCACACCAGTACTCAGGAGACAGAGACAAGTGGATCTCTGTGAGTTCAAGGCCAGCCTGGCCTAAAGAGGGAGTTTCAGGATAGCTAGGACTGTTACACAGAGAAACCCTGTCTCTAAACAAACCAACAAAGCACATGAGAAGAGAAAGCAGAGGGGTAGGGAGGGGAGTATTGCATGGCTCTGTACTGATATCACTAGCTGTAAGTGCCTTCTTAGTGCTTAGAGTGGTTCATCTGAATTGAAATGCTATAAACATAAGGGGCTGGAGAGATGATTTAGTGGTTAAGAGAACCAGCTGCTCTTCCAGAGGACCCAGGTTCAATCTCCAGCACCCACATATCAGCTCACATCTGTCTGTAACTACAGTTCCAGGGGATCTGACATCCTCACACAGATATATATGCAGGAAAAACACTGATGCACATAAAAATAAACAAATGAATAAATAAGGGACACCAGATTCTGAAGATTATAGAAAAAGTGATAATAACATCCTAAGGGGCTGGGGAGACAGTTTAGTAGGTGACATGGTTGCTGCTCAGGCTTAAGGACCGTACTTCAGATCCCCAACACCCAAGTGAAAACTGACATGGCAGCAGGCATCTCTGACCTCAGCTCTAAGGGGAAATGAAACAGGCAAATCCCTGGGGTGCTCAAGCCAGCTAGCCTAGCTGAAAAACAGCAAGGCCCTGTCTCAAAACACCAGGGAGTGTCGGAGGAAGACACTGACATAGCCCTCAGGCCTCCACATGCTCATATGTGGATGAGAATGCTACGTCCCACGTTGCAAACACATGCATATACCACATGCATACACATACATATATATGACATGCACACACATGCATATAATGTATACACACACAAAGGAAAGAATGCAACCTTTTAGAAGAAAGAATCATTTTAAAATATTAACATCCTAGTATTGACTACATATCACCATTGTAATATTTTTAAGTCATTAGGTTGGATAAAACAACATTTTAAATTTACATTACCATATTTCTCTATTTTTAAAAAATATTTTTTGTTTCACATGTATTGGCGTTTTGCTTGCACGTATGTCTGCAGGAGCATGTCAGATCTCTTGGAACTAGGGTTGCAGACAGTTATGAGCTGCCATATGGCTGTTGGGAATGGAACCTGAGTTTTGTGGAAAAGAAGCCAGTGCTCTTAACTGCTGAGCTATCTCTCCAGCCTCTCCTTTTTATATTTTTAGGACACATTATTAGATGTTTTTTCCCAAGACAGGGCTTCTTTGTGTAACAAATGGCCCTGGCTACTTGCTGTGTAGACCAGGCTGACCTCAAACTCACAGAGATGCACCTGACTCTGCCTGTGGCTTTCATTATATCTCATCATTGAGCAGTGTCGATCTGGGCTTGTTAGAATTCCTGTGTGAATTGCTCAGTGAGCTTTGAAACAGAGCAAGTCCTCCCATGAGAAAACCGTCTTCCTAGACCAGAGTGACTTAAGAGATGCCGTCACCCCTTCATCCTAGACAACAGCACCGACAGTAATAAAAACTCTCAAGCATTCATAAAATCTTACTCACACCATGTAGCTTTGGGGTTTCTTTTCCATTGAGATTTTCTCCAAGTAATAAGACAGATAGTACAACAGGGCCATAAGGAAGCTGTCAAGATTCTTATTTCTACAGGGAAATTTTGAGGTAAAAGAGAAAAAAGAAATCAATACTCCCGATTTCAAACATTAGGTTACCCGTGAAAAACAATGGGGACACAGTGTGAGAGTAAATAGAAATATATGGTTCCAAACCTACCACACAGTTAACTTACTATTTAAAATAATTCTACCCTTTGTGATGAAGATGGAAAAAGCATCGGAAAAAGACTTATTTCTGCGAAGTCAGATACCAAAGTATTAACGTATTATTTTTTTTCACTTCACAAATATTTGCTCTGTTGGTAATAATACTTCCATTGTTTGTAAAAATGGACAGAGCTGAGCATGGTGGTTCACACCCGTGATCCCAGCAATCGGGAAGATTTTAAGTCCTAGGTCAGCCTGGGCTACCAAACATAACTAACAGGAAAACTCCTAACTCCTCTGCAGCATGGCCCCATCTCAAAATACAAACAAGAGCACAGAAACACGTGAAGCAAAGTTCTCTTCTCCCATTCTTTCGCCTATGTGCAATTTGCTCTTACCCCTTGCTCCAGGACTTTAGAGCACCTGTGACTTGGGGCCCCTGTGACCTCAGATGTCTCACCCACACTGTCTAGTCTAGTCTCTGAAGGGATGGCTTGCACAGAGACACCATGTTATCTTCTGAGAAACCCATTGCTGCCCCCTAGGTCTGTTTCACTTATTTCCCCTTCCAAGAGAAGGGGGAAAGGTGTGTGCTGTCTCATCAGCTTTACCTCATGAACGTTGTGAAAGAACAGACCCGCTGCATTTCAGTGTCTTGGAGGGAAAGCAAGGCAACGACTGGAAGGAGAGAAGGAAGCAGTTAGTTAAATAGAGGCAAGGCGTGGCACCGGGAGCTGGGGGCTGTCAATCACGTGGAGTGGGAGGAAGAAAGGGGCTCACACTTGACATCATCCAGCGTGACATAGCCCTGCTGACTTCGTTTGTCCAAGGCTTTCACTGACTTTTCATCCCTCGAGGCAAATCTTTTATCTGTCAACCTGTTTGGGAATATAATAGTCTCAGGTGGTGGTTTTGTTGTTTTAAGATTTATTTTTATTTTATATGTATGGATGGGTGTTTTGCCTGCTTTTAAGTCTGTGTACCACATTCATGCAGTGCTCTCGGAGGCCAGAAGGGGGTGTTGGATTCCCCCAAGTGGAATTACAGTCCCTTGTGAGCCACGCTTCTGGTTCTTTCAGTCAAATCTGTGTCAGATCTTAGAGGAACAGCAAGCAGCCAGTTCCCTTAACCTCTAAGCCACTGCCCTAGCCCTCAGAGAGTTTTTTTTGTTTTTTTTTTTAAAGGTTTATTCATTTATTATGCATACAACGTTCTGTCTGCCTGCATCCCTACAGGCCAGAAGAGGGCACCAGATCTCATTACAAATGGTTGTGAACCACCATGTGGTTGCTGGGAATTGAACTCAAGATCTCTGAAAGAGCCGCCAGTGCGCTTAACCTCTGAGCCATCTCTCCAGCCCTTCAGAGAGTATTTTAAAGAATTTAGTTTTATCTAGTATGTCCTGAGATGCACGAGGAACTTGCTTGTAAAGTAATGAGAGCTTGGATGTCATGCATGGGTGCCATTTAATGCAGTATTGTGTCACAGTACACTTGATCATTGTATTTATTACAGGAGTAGAAGCATGTGTACTGATATAAAATGTAAACCAAATAGATTATTTTTGCTGATTTTTTTTTTCAAGACAGGGTTTCTTTGTGTAGCCCTGGCTGTCCTGGAACTCACTTGGTAGACCAGGCTGGCCTCCACCTTAGAGATCCACCTGCCTCTGCGTTTTGAGTGCTGGGGTTAAAGGCCTGCATGCTCAGCTTTCAAAAAGGTCCTTTAAATCCCTTAATGGGTTGAGCATGTAGTTCAGTGGTAGGATGTTTGCTAGAATGTGTGAGGCTTTTATCCCCAGCACTTGGAAGAATGGATGTTAGAATGGATATAAATGAAAATCTGGTGTCACTAGTATTTTCAGACTAATAAAAAACTATAACTGTAACAAGTTTGAAATGCACTAATAGCCACATTATCAAAGGAATGAATGCCTAGGGGCTGCTTCTAACTCCTGCTGTAGAGACACTGCCTGTGTTTCCCTTGATGGATATTTGCATGGCAACCTAGGAAAGCAGGACCAGTATCTCTTTGAGTTTGTATAGACAAGCAAATCTGCTGGAGCCACCTTTCTGAAGCTGGACCGTCCGTTTCAGCGAAGTGAACTGCCTTCCCTTTCTTGCCTTTCTCCTTGAGCTCTATTGTAGGCGTGAAACTGCAATGAGAAGGAGATGATTAGGGACCTTTTCCCAGAGAAAGCTGATCCTATGGGGCCATAGCTCACGTAGTCCGAAGATTGGTATGTATTAGCAGTGTTCAACTCCCGAGATGTATGAACACATGGGGCCACTAGCAAGAGGAAGATTAATACCTCCAACTCACAGCAGCTTCTAGGATGTCATCATGCACAAAAAAACTTCTGTCTGAACGTCTTGTAGTACTGTCACACAAAGGAAGCTCATGAATGTAGAGGGCTTTCAAAGTTTATTGAGTACTTGTGACAGGCCAGGGACTTTCAGGGACCATCTCATCCTCATAACCACTTTATGAGAAAAATATTACTGCCATCATTTTCACACCTAAGAAGAAGTGAAGCTTAGAGATTATAGGCATGGGCAGGAGGCAGAGCAGATCTCAGGATCATTGCTCTGTGAAGGTTCCAGCACTTGGACTGTTTGTGGTGGTGGCGTGGGGGAGGGGTGAAAAAGAAAGAGACCCCCATTGGGAAGAGGGTCAAAGAGATTGGGGGGGGAGGGAGTGTGTGTGTGTGTGTGTGTGTGTGTAAATGCTTGCTGGAATCTAATGGTAGAATGCTTGCCTGACATGTGCAAGGCCCTGGGCTCAAGCTCCAGTACTGTATGACAAAATTAAAACAGAAACTTGATTTTGACCCTAATGTGGTCTTGGAATTATCTGACAAGACATCTAATGTCTTTATATTTTTATAATTTAAGTACAAACTACATGTGGCTAGCCAACTCTTTTCTTGACCTCCAGCCTCACCTGGTCAACATTCTAACAGACGTTTTCACGGAAGCCTGTCATAGCAACCTTAAACAGCACACTGTTTTCCTGTGTGTTCAGGAATAGCAATGCCACCCAGTTACCTGGGGAGCAATGTAGCCGCCTACTCCTCTTTCTTCCTTCACATTTGGGTATTACAGCTTGTTGATTTTATCCAAACATCGTGCTTAATGCTGTCCACTCCCCCCTCTCTCAGCATAGTTAATTCTGACTCTGCTTTTCACTTGTATCCCGGTCTACAATTCCCTTTCCCTGCCCTTTCATTTGGTCCCCAGTTAACAGATAGTTAACAGAACATGGTTAATAAACATTTGTTAAACACTTATTTTGTTGGCTACAGAGCTAGGTCCAGGACAGCCAGCCAGGGCTGTACACATTTTAAAAAAAGAAATGGAAAGAAGAAAACAATGTCATTAAAGGCTGGTCAGCAAAATCATTTTCAGACGATGGAATTTAATTTTAGTTTTTTGTTTTTGTTTTCTTCGAGACAGGGGTTTCTCTGTGGCTTTGGAAGCTGTCCTGGAACTAGACCAGGCTAGCCTCGAATTCACAGAGATCCACCTGCCTCTGCCGCAGGAGTACTGGGATTAAAGGCATGTGTCACCACCGCCCAGCTAATTTTAGTTTATAGACTTCTCTGTATGGCTTATTATCGATCCCCTCATCTCCCACCCCCACCCCAGCACATATAACAGTGATAAAAAAAAATGTCTTAAATCTTTTTTTTTTTTTTTTTTTTTTTGGTTACGCTTTACCTTCTAAATTCCAGAGTTTTGGTTTCATCTTTCCAGTACCACATCCCCAATCGTAATCCACATTGCTGTAAAACGAAATGATTGCATCAGCTATAAATTCACTTTACAACCCACATGTCCCCATAAAACCTTTCATTCCTCCTGCTAGTTCCTTAAATCTACCTAATTAATCTCATTGAAGCTGACCTTGAGTTCCTTTTCTTTCCTTTTTTGTTTTGTTTGTTGAAACAGGGTTTCTCTGTGTAGTCCTGGCTGTCCTGAAGCTCAATCTGTAGACAAGGTTAGCCTCATATACAGAGATCTGCCTGCCTCTGCGAGAATTACAGGCCTGAGCCACCAGCACCAGGTGAACCTTTAATTCTTATCCTCCTGTCTCTACCTCTTCCCTGGGATTACAGGCATGCACTCTTACACCCGGTTTACGTGGTGCTGGGGATCAGCATCCGAAACAGGGGTGGGTGCATGCTAGGTAAGGACTCATACGAGTGACATCCAGCCTTTGCTTTAATTTTATTTTGTGTATAAGGGTGTTTTGCTTGTGTGCCTGTCTGTACACCTCCCGTGTGTAATGCTGGAAGAGATCATAAGAGGGCATCGGATCTCCTGGAGTTGGAGTTACCAAAAGTCACAGCAGATTTGTGGTTGCTGGAAATTGACTGTGGCTCCTGTGGAAGAGCAGGGCTCTTAACGACTAAACCATCCCTTCATCCTTCTGTTTTCACTTGGTTTCATTCTTCTTGTTTCAATAAGGAAACGATGAGAGGATGAAAGAAGTAAAGTAGGAGAACGGGAAAGCAGAAGATGGGGAGGGAGAAGGAGGAAAGAACTTTAGCTCAAGGCTAGTCACAACCATTCAGAGGATGCCATAGAGCAACCTTTAATCTAGGCCCTCAAGTTAAACTCCTCAAAAAAAGAAAAAGAAAGGAACAGTCAATCAGGCGGTGGAGGCGGCGCCTTTAATTCCTGCAGAGGCAGAGGCAGATCTCTGAGTTCAAGGCCAGCCTGGTCTATACAGAGTGAGTTCTAGGACAGCCAGGGCTACGGAGAAACTTTAAGGAGGAGGAGGGGCTCTAACGTTGTCTCTGACCTTCAGGGACAGAATTTTGCACAGTAGCTGGGGACAAACAACCAGCCTTTGCCCTTCCTGGGTCCGGAGCTGGTCTGCTTCTCCAGCAGTAAGACTACCTATCTCACAACATAACAGAGAGGAATGGACTTTCATAATAATCTACACATCTGTGTGGGGAGCCAGACAGAATTCCATTCCGACAACACACCTCTCTACTTTTGTGTTTGGAGGCAAATATGCCCCACGTTCTTGGGAACCGTGGGCACAAGATGAAGGCGACGACCCGCCTGTGGAGGAGCCCGAGCACGAGCACAGGACAAGCGCCACCCCAGCCTCCCCATCGAAAGCCGCTGGGCACCCACGGTGCCTGCCACACAGCCCGCCACACCGAGGGCAGGTCCCGGTCAGCACTGCCCGCCTGTCACTGGCCCTGAGAAAGTGCGACCAGGCTGCACTTACGTCCAGCGGGGTAGAGGATTGCCCGTCGTACTGCTTCCTCCTGGAGTAAAACTCCGGCACGGAGACCATGGTCTCACCCTGAGACGGCCAGCCGTCGCCTGGGATACGGCCACGCCGCGGCCCTGCAGGCGTCCGAGAGGCGGGGTTTCCGCCGGATCGAAGTCCAGGAGCGTTCTGACACCTCCCCATCCCCCACCCCAGCTCCGATCCTGCCAGGACTTGACACTGGTGCCCCCATGAAACCATCACCCCAAGCTTTAATTGGAATAACTCGGTACACTCCTATAGTAAAGACCTGTTCCAAACTGCCACGGCTAGCTCAGTGAAGCTGAAACACTGTTGGACCTAGGCTGCTTTAAAGAGTTCGTTTAGTGGAAGGGATTATGGGCACGGAAATAAAATATTCCGAGCAGTTCTTTTGTTAACTAGTGAAACCTGGTTTTAACCCACTTCTGAAAATACCCAAATCAGAGGTCATAGACATTTTGGGGTACCAGCCTGTGTGAGTAAGTTAGCGTTACTGTTGCTCTGAAGAAGCACCATGACCAAAGCAATTTGGGGAGGAAAGGATTTATTCAGTTTTCCCTTTCCCATCACAATTCATTAGCAAAAGAAGTCAGAACAGGAACTCAAGCAGGGCTGGAATCCGGAGGCTGGAGCTGATGCTGAGGCCATGAGGGATGCTGCTTACTGGCTTGTTCCTCATGGCTTGCTCAGCCTGGGTTCTAAAAGTAGAAACAATGCTAGATGAAGAGGCTGGCAATTGGGGATGCCTAATGAGTCTGCTTTTATATCCACAGAGCTGAATGGGTATGAGATGCACAGTAAATAGCCAAGTATATACTATACGCCCATAAACTTTACAATTACAGTAACTTGCATGTCACTGCCTGTCTGACCTAGTCTCCTGGTTTTCCAGTCACTGGTTATGGTGATCTAAAACTGTAATCAATACATTCCTGTCCTATTTACTGGAGTCAGTTTTACTTGTTGATCCAATTAATTTAAATGCATGGAAACTTATGTGGACACCTCCAGTGCTAGTTTGAGGCCAAGGGTCAAGCAGGCTTACTTACTGTAAAGGAAAGAGAATATAATATCCCAGATGCCAAGAATTATCTAACTACCAGTATCTATAATTTGGAGTGGAGTGAACCAGGAGGAGATAAAATTCCCAAAAAGACTAAGACCAAGGTATCTAGTTATTCCACAGTCAGTAGAGAATGTAATAATAACCCTGGGGATGGAGAGATGACTCAGCAGTTAAGAGCACTGGCTTTTCCAGAGAACTCAGGTTCAATTCCCACCACCCATATGGCAGTTCACAACTGTCTAACTCCAGGTCTAAGGTGTTCAGGCATCCTCTGGACATACATGCATGCAAACATACATGTAGGCAAAACACCAATGCATATAAAATAAATTAATAAATCTTTTTTTTTTAAAGAGAGAAACCCAAAGGGGGGAAAAATCATGTTGTTGACTTAGTACATGCTAAAAAAAATATCTAAAAGAAAAAAACAACCCTCTCAGATAGCTCACTAAATGCATTAGGTGCTAACAGAACACCATCTCTAAGTTTAGTCTAAAGTGAAAGGAAGTTCCTGAGAAATTAAAATATTATTTAAAATTAAGATGCATAGCCAGGCATGGTGGTGCACGACCATAATCCCAGCATTCTGGAGGTGAGGTGGAGGCAGGTGGATCTCTGTGAGTTCAAGGCCAGCCTGGTCTACAATGCAAGTTCCAGAACAGCCAGAACTATTACACAGAGAAACCCAGTCTCAAAAACAAAAACAAAACAAAACAAAATAAAGCTGTATAGCCAGGCATGGTGGTGCATGCCTGTAATCCCAGCACTCAGGAGGCAGAGGTAACAGGATCTCTCTGAGCTCAAGGCCAGCATGGTCTACAGAGCAAGCTCCAAGACAGGCTCCAAAGCTACACAGAGAAACTCTGTTTTGAAAATCAAAAACAAAACAAACAAATAACCTGGTCTCCAGTTTCAGGGATCAAACTTCCTCTTCTGACCTCTGAGAGCATCAGATACAGACATGATGTACATACATAAGTGCTTACAGAAAACTCATAATACATACTTTTTAAAAAAAATTCAAAAAGCAGCTAAGAGCATGTAACACAGAACAAAGTGTCTTGTCTCAGAATCTTAGACCTGGCATTAACTGGTTATTAATATATACTTGTGCTGGCCATGGCAACACAGACCTTTAGTCCCAACACTTAGGAGGCAGAGGCAGGCAGATGGATGTGAATTCCAGGCCAACCTGGTCTGCATTGTGAGTTCCAGGACAGCCAGTACTGTCCCACTAAACCAGAAATGCATATATTCTAGAAATATTTATATTACAAGAGTCATAACAAGAATAAAACTGGCGGGGTGGTGAGTTTGAGGCCAACCTGATCTACAAAGTAAGTTCCAGAATGGCCAAGGCTACACAGAGAAACTCTGTCTTGAAAACAATAAGCAAAACCAAAAGAATAAAACTGGATTTTTTTTTAAAGTCTTTTTTTATTATTTTATTTTTATTTATTTATTTATTTTTTTATATTCCAATTCTAGTTCCCCCTCTGTCCCCTCCTCTCACTCCCCCCACTTGCCCACAACCCCACCTCCCATCTGCTCCACAAAGAGGGTAAGGCCTCCCCTAAGGAGTCTACCAAGTATCTCATCATCTCCTTGAGCCAGGACCAAGGCACCTCTCCACCCCACACCCCTGTGTCCAGGCTGGGCAAGGTATCTCTCCACATAGAATGAGCTCTGCTAAGTCAGTTTGTGCCTTAGTGTTAGGTCTGGGATCCACTGCCAGAGGCCTCATATGTTGTCCCAGGCACACCATTGTCACCTATATTAAGGGAGTCTAGTTTGGTCGTATGCAGGTTCCCCATTTGTCAGACCAGAGTCAGTGATCTCTCACTAGCTCGGGTCAGCTGATTCCATGGGTTTCCCCATCATGGTCTTGACTTCTTTACTGTAATTTTATTCAGGAATAAAACTTTGTATATGATTTCTAAATGAGAAATCTTTAATGCCTATTTATGCACTAAGCATATAGAAGCAATTGAACATTCCCACACATTTGGTTTATTTATTTTTTCTTTTTTTTGAGACAGGGTTTCTCTATATAATAGCCCAGGCTGTCCTGTAACTCTGCAGTCTATGCTGGCCTCTCAAGAGACCCACCTGCCTCTGCCTCCCGAGTGCTGGGATTAAAGATGTGCACCACCACTGCCTGGCTTTTGTTTGTTTGTTTGTTTGTTCTTTTTTCCCCAATTTTTTTACATTTTACCACTGCCTGGGGCTTTAAGTTTCATTTTTAATTGTGTGTTGTGTGTGTTTATACGCACATGAATACAAAGGTCTACCTATGGTGGTTAGAGGTGTCAGATCCCCTGGAGCTGAGGTTACATGCCTTTGTAATCCACCTGATGTGGATGCTGGAAATTGAACTCAGGTCCTCAGGAAGGGCATATGCTCTTACCTACTGAGCCATTTCTCTAGCCCCTCCTACTCTTTTGTTTTGGATTCTCAAGACAGGGATTTTCTGTGTAGCCTTGGCTGTCCTGTAACTCTGTAGACTAGGCTGGCCCTTTATTCTTTTTTTAGGTAGGGTTTATCTGTGTAACTTTGGAACCTATCCTGACACTCGCTCTGTAGACCAGGCTGGCCTGGAACTCAGAGCTCCACCTGACTCTGTCTCCTGAGTACTGGGATTAAAGGCGTGCGTCACCACTGCCTGTCCTTGCCCTTTATTCTTATTTCTTAATTCTAACATACATATTCCTTTAGCAATGGTCTTGACATATGGCTATGAGATTAAATCTTTACTCACAATCATATGTGTACATGTGTGCATGTGTGTTATAATTAACCAAGGACAATTTGTGTGAATTTGTTCTCTCCTGTGATGCAGGGCCTGAGGGTGCAACTCAGGTGGTCAAGGTTTTAATTTCCAGTATCCCAAGTCAAAGGGAGTATGGTTTACAACACAACTTCTGCATCCTACAGTTTAAAGTGGGAATGTCTTATGTGCCTGTCCACTTAGCTTCATAGAAGCTCTTTTGATCTCATCCAGATATTCAGAGTGTAAGAATGACAGCTAAGGGCTGGGGGTATAGCTCAGTTGTAGAGTATTTCTGCCTAGCATGCACAGAGCCCTGGGGTAGATCCTCAGCACAATTAAAAAAAACAAAGTGAGGGCCTGTGTGATGGCTCAGGGGGTAACAGTGCTGTTTGACAGGCCAATCCCCAGGACTCCCATGGTGGAAGGGGAACTCCCTCAAGTAGTCTTCTGACCCCACGTGTGTACACCGCAGGAAAGCAAACACACACTCACATAATACAATCGTCATTTTGAAAAAGAAGACCGAGGCTGGAGAGATGGCTCTTAAGCACTTGCTGCTATGGTGGAAGATCCAGGTTCAACACCCGGTACCAACATGGCAGCTCACATGTGTGTGCGAGGGCAGTTCCAGATCTGATGCCCTCTTCTAGCCTCAGTGGCTACCAGACACGCACAGTGTACAGACAAATGCAGGCAAAATACACACATACAATTTTTTTAAACATAAAAAAATTCAATGATCAATAATTCTCAAAAAAAAAAAAAAACCCAAACCCTCTTCACCTTAAGCCTCTATTGCACATTGAATGTGTGATATATTAAAAATCCTATTATGTAAAGTTTTATGTAAGTAACAATATCTCCTAAGGTACTTACAAGTTTTAATGCCTTTTCATTACACATACAAAACTCTGAAAGAAATTGAAAGTTGAGACTGTTTCCAAATGTCATCTAAAACACTATTATATATTATTTTGACAGATTATCATTTATCACCTCAAAAGAAACAAAATAATCAGACATTCAGATACAAATGTGCCTGTTTTTATAAATTGCCTTTTAGCCCTCAGCCCTCTTTTTGTAAACATATTGCATCTGTTTTAGTCACCTCAGCCACTACTTGAAAGTTCATATGATGTTAATTATTCCTCCAACTGTAATTTAACCCCTCCGAAGAGCAAGCCTTGTTTCCACTGTTACTTGACCAGGGCTA